AGGTGATGAGTAAAGAAAGACCAAAACAATCTCAATAAATAATATATCGCGACTATCACGGCACATCACTTCACCTATACATGTTCCTGTAACTACCTATAAATAGATGGGAGTTTGACCCGTGTCAAAGGTTGGGGGGTGGCTGACGATTCGGGAGGTGGCTGCAGGTTGACGAAAGGGAAAAGCGCGGCGCCGCGAAGAGAGAGAGAGGAGGCTCCATTAGTTCTAAGCTCCTTGGTCTAGGCCTATATAGGCCTACGCCAAGGAATTTACAATAATACGCCTAAACTTCCTTCGGTGGAAAAGCAGTAAAAATTCACTTTTTTTACTTGCTATTCGTCTTGGCTGTCTTTCTAGTCATAATCTATTGAATTTCAATACTACACAGGTTGTAGAAAGGTAAAGAACTGTATAAGTTTGAAGACTGTCAGATTAACAAAACAATCTTTTCTTAATTAATACTTTGAGATGACGTCATCGAATTGTGTGTACTTCAGGCAATTGTGCAAAACTAACCAAGACTTCTGGGAAGCCGGCGGAAGTGGAAAGTGGACGGCAGAAACTTGCAGCTTGCATCAGAAAAGATGGCTGGTGAAAGCGAAAGCAGCAACACGGCTCCACATGTTCAAACAAAACAGCCCCATCTCTCAAAGCAGGACCTCACAACTCTTGTAGGTTTGCCTCTCAAATGTCAATCGTGATGTGCTCTTCGAAAAGTTAAGATTTAATAATATGCGTGGAGACAGGATGTCTCTCGACTTCGACTCTCTCTACTCAACTCTTACGTCTTACTTTCTAGCCTCTAGCCTAGCACATGCAATTATAAACGTAGAACGACGCAAACTATTTTTAGTAGATAAGGCGGCCATCTTGTGTGACGTCAGACCGGGAGACCCCTCCGATCACTTGACTACATGATCTAATAATAGCCAACCACATGGCACCAAAGATCGTTTATACCTACCGACACGACGTTTTGGACATTTTGTTTGGTATTGATGCGATCATGTGGCTCTATTTCTATCCTCACCCGGGCTGAGAATAAAAATATGGTGGTGTTAAAATACAAAAGTAAATTAATCTGGTCGTCCACAGAGATGCTACGGCTATTTAACTTCAAATCGAGCCGAATGGCCAATGGGAAGATTGAAGAATACCGGACCACTCGGGGGGGGGGGGTTCAAGTTCAGGGCGCTGTTTCGGTAGTTCCCACCCCGCATTTGTTATTCGCCGGTTTTGGCCCCAAGAGTAGGGGGGTTTCAGGGGGGCTTGCCCCCCTGACCTAATAAAAACAAGGTGGGGGGTTTCAGGGGGGGCATGCCCCCCTGAATTTTACCACAATTTAATGTTTTGCAGTTGTTAGGTTTGACATCTTAGCTTGCCGCGAATCAAACGTATATAGATCTAGATGTAGGTCAGGCTCTATCAAATAAGGGGGGTGGGAACTACCGAAAAAGCGCCGATTAGATGTAGGTCAGGCTCAAATAAGAGGGGGTGGGAACTACCGAAAAAGCACCGGGTTCAGGGGGGTCTCCCCCCCCTGACAAATTTGTAATGATTGGATCAAGGCCACCTCTATTCTCACCCGGGGTGAGAATAGTGCAGGCGAGTCTTTTGGCTACTCTCACCCGGTGCGCGTTCACCGTTATAGCCTAGATCTAGGCCAACAAATTTTGCGTTCACCCTAAACCACAGAATTCTACACTGTGATAACAGAAAAATTGTAGAATTCTGTGCTGTGAATGTGAACAAACGTTCCATTACAACTGTACTTGTAGCCTACTAAAAGCGTACAAATTTGTCTGTGGGCAGTGGAGAGAGAGAGAACAAAACAAAATGGCGACCCGCGTAGTTCGGCTCGATTCGAAAAGTTAAATAGCCGTAGCATCTTTGTAGACAACCAAATTAATTTACTTTTGTGTTTTAACATAATTTTTTAACTTTGTTTTGGTCAATTTGATCGTCCACTCCGATAGACAGTATTCAGAAAGATACAGAGAGAAGAGGGGAGGAGTAGATCTTGCGTAGCAATGCCAATCGCCCGCTGCGCCTTGTACCGGAAATCGGCCTCCACGCGAGGGGTATTTTTTGGGCCGCTCGGAATCAGAAGTGACTCTCTTCTAAGTTTAGTTACGGGAAAACTCCTGGACGAAAATAAATGAAACTCGGCAACCAACCAGAGGAAAGGTTGAACTAATGACATGCCAGCGTACAATCCCGAACGATTACTAGAACTAGAACCGGAGATATTGCCGTGTTTGTGCGAATTTCCTCTGCGGTTCGAAAACTAAGCGGAGCTGCGGCTTGATCGCCGACCACACAAGCGCCCCACATGTCTTCTTTATTGCTGTAAAATTTCAGATCTCTGCGTTTAGTAGATTTTCCGTACCAACTTAAAATTACCACCCATCCATTGATAAAACCCTAGATCTAGAAACTTGATCGCGCATTCCAAACGCGAGGTGCCGGCACGCAAGAGGCGCGTGATCGCTAGGCGGCATGTGATTGGCTGCCTATAACCAAATGGGTCACCGATGACTACATCGCGGGTTTTCCCGATAGCGCTTTACTGAGTTTTAGAAGGGGTGATCGCGTCGCGGTAAAAACGATGTCACGCAATTCAACAAATTTCACGCAAATATCAGTCTTTAAGATCCAAAGTATTGAAGACATCGAAAAAGTGATAGCAAAACTAGATTCGGCACTAAAAATCACATGGAGATGCCAAGTTTCATTCATATGCTCCAATTCATTACTGACTTATGAACAGTTTTTCCTCAAAATACATCAAAACATGTCCCACATTTTGGCGATTTTTTCCTATATGAAGGTCCTCCAACATTTTGCAAACAAAAATCCCAATAACTTTTTTATTTATCAATGGATTTTTAAATTTTAAAAACCATAGTTCTTAGAATTTACTCTATTTTCATTTAAGTCCATTTTTAAGCAATTTGGATGAAAATTTAATTTTTCATTGTCATTGCTATCTTGCGAGAACTTCCGGGCGGGTGAGAATAGCCACTTTCATAGATCAAGACTAAATCTAGATTCTAGATCTCTAGAGATTCTCCATTGAGAGATTAAAAACTGGGGAAAATCATAAATTCCTAAGGTTGAGACCTAGGCAAAGTCAGTCAGGTGGTCCGGTATTCTTCAATCTTACCGAGCCGAATTACGCGGGTCGCCTTTAGGTTTTGCCCGGAAGTTTTCGCGCTACTCCCCTCTCTATCTCTCTCTCCTCCCCCCCCCCCCTCTCTCTTTCTCTCTCTCTCTCTCTCTCTCTCTCCCCCCCCCCCCTCTCTCTTTCTCTCTCACGGCCCACAATCAAAATTGCACGCTTTCAACACAAGAGCTCTGACTCTGGAACGTTTGTTCACGGTGAACGCTACACTGGTTGGCCTGGTGAGAATAGCCAAAGGGCCCGCCTGCGCTATTCTAGAATAGCGGTGGCCTTTTCCTGGAGACGTTCCGGTATATTGTAGGCTATATGATATGATAAAAATAGTCTGTGGGTATCCCAGGATGTGATGAAATCACATTACTAAAATAAACAGCCAATCAGGCAGGTGCGTCTTTCTACGTTTAGCCGGGTCTGGACGTGGTGGGATGTTTTATGTTAGTGATTTGGAAAATTTGCCAGCGGCATGGTCCAAATTTTCCCCTGAGTTCAGGGTGACTGAATTGACAGGGGATAATCCAGTTTTGGCCCTAATGATTACTACTGAGTGTATGAGTTTTGCCTCTAGTGAGCCCGCTTAACTCATTCTTGGCCCATTACCAATATATCGGCTGCACCACCACTCCATTTTCACTCATTTATTAGCCTACCGATATATCGGTACAGGCTAGATATATTCAGAACTAGAATCTAGCTATGTAGTATGTAGTCTAGGTTATAGCATTATCTTTGACACGAGACAGGACCTAGACAAAGTAAGTAGGTGTTTAAGAACCTGTGGTAGCTCTGAATTTTTAGAGAGATGAAAATTAAATAGTCCACAAAATGCGAAAATGTAACAAGAGGAAGTGGTTGATATAGTGGAAAAGATTAGTTTTACGTGTAAAGGACGCATGACACTCCTGTGGAATGACTTTTAGAGAGAAAAAAATAGGGATAACTGGAGTAATCTCACTTTTGAACTGAAACTAAGCAGCATATATATATATTTGAAATATTTTTTGTTCCTCTTGCATAACATTGTAATACTTTTTTTGATAGATCATACTGGACAGATTCTGACTTTCTTTTCTTCTGTTTTTTTTCCTTATCGATACCACCTTTTCCCCTCCCCTTCTGGAACTTGCGTAACCTTTTCAATGTTCTTCTATTGCTTTTCAGGACATAAAAACGTTAACTCCCTTGACACCTGATGTGATCAGTCGCCAGGCTACAATCAACATAGGTAAGTTTGCGGAAACTAACTCTGAGCTTAAAAGTTAAGGGTGCTACACATTTACAAAGAGAATTTATATATTGGTACTGAAGCAAAAGGTGATGGGAAATTTTACCTTCAGTCCCATATTTTACCCATTTGCCTTGACTACTGACATTGAAAAGTAATGATTTATGGACTGCAGGTTCAACAGAATTGAATATAAGGAAAAGGAAGTCAGACTAGGAATTATGTTTGTGTAGCAATGCCAGTTGCTCCCTGGGCTTTGGCCCTGAAATCGGGCTGCATTGGGACATAATTTTTAGGCCGTTCAGTATCAAAGGTAGCCCTTTTGTAAGTATAGTTACGGAAATACCCATGAACGAAAATGGGTGAAACTTTGCAACCAAAATTAGAAGGAAGGCTAAGCTTACAACATCGATAGATTTCTAGAACCGGAGAATTTGTGGTGTGCAAAAACTAAGAGAGCTGCTGTATTGCCGTGGACTGACCAAGCACTCCACATGTCTTTTTTGTTGCTTAAAAATTTCAGATTGTATAACATTGTGACCCAATTGTCCAACTTCGTCTATCTTCCATGATATATAGCCTGAAATTTGCACATTAAATTCATACATATCGAAGAGATGTGTCCTGCCGACTTTGCTATGTGTATGTGTACTACACTGTATACAGTTCAACTAGATAATCTTTTATCAATTTTGTTTATGCAGGAACCATTGGCCATGTGGCTCACGGAAAGTCCACGATGGTAAAAGCCATCTCAGGTGTCCAGGTAAGACTTGCTGTTCGTGTTACAAAGAACTGAAGAAAAGACTGCTTGGTGTAAGACTTCAACATACACCATTAGGAATACAGTAGTCTCCGCATAAGATCACGGTGCTCGGGAGCTAGGAAATGCGGGATTTTAACCGACGAACCCAGGGAAGAATCTATGGTGGCCCATGTTAAGGCTCAAAATCGGTAAAATGGTCTCCCTCCACTCTAAAATGAACTGACATGACTCCTGGGTGGGTTTATGACATGGCGAACAAAGAGGGATTAACTTTGATGATCTATCACAGTGCATAGTGGCACGAGGCATGCCATTTTCACTTATGATCCTATCATGAGTCTCAAGATCTACGCTTATCCAGTTGCCCCTCCCCTTTACCTGTTGAAAATTTATAGCTTTCCATATCTGACTGAGTTCCCACCCGCCTTTGTCGTTATGCTCCGTTACCTTGTGATCACACCAATTAAAATTCAGTCTCTCGCAAATTCAGGAGTAGAGAAAACTGCTGCAATGGTCAGGGAAGAGTTCTTAGTTCGATGTGAGCCCGCTGGGAGCGAAGTGATGTAATTTTAGGGAAGAGCTCAGGTGTGAGTGCGATGTTTGGGAAAAACAAACGCATCGGTCAGTTCACACCCCGGTGTGATCCTGTTTGGGACAAACATTGTATCGCTTCATCGAGTTTTACGTGTGTGATCACATTCACGAGAATGGGTGGTCTTTGACACGACGAACGGTTATCTCTTGGTTGATGGACTGTGCCCACGGGGATTTTTGTTCCACAAATAATGATCTGAAATGCGGGATCTTAGCCGAATGTAGACCTTCAGAGTGAATCAGAGCGGGATCTTATGGGTGACTTTTGTATAGCAAAAATTCTGTTTTCTTAAAACAGGGGGTTCTTAAGCGAACCGGGATCGTAAGCGGTGGGATCTTAGGCGGAAACTACTGTAATAACGTATGACAGGGTCTTACACTAGATACTCGATATATGTTGTCACAAACAAAGCAGTTATGTTACTGTAATAGGGCCCCAGTTTCATTTCAAATACAAATTTGTTGATGCCAAAGTTTTTCTCTAGTTAGATTGGTTTGGTTGCAAAATTAAGTTTATTTTAAAAAGTCAAGAAAGATGTGTCTCTCTTGGTCACTGAGGTTCCAAATTATTATTTTTTTAAAGTGGGAAATGTGTATGTAGGGTGAAGATTTTCACTTGTCTGAGCAATCCAAGAGATCTGCCTTGTGGTGATGAAACTTTTGGACTAGAGTCACTGAGTTAACTTTGATGTCAATTTCCATCTGAACAAGGCTTCTCACTCTTTAGTTTAAAAAAGATATGATCTATGTTTTAATTTTCATTTTGCTCGCAATTATTATAAAACGGGCAGTGGGAGAAATCTGCATGGTTTGTTTGCTTGAAGATGTGCTCCTCTAGTTTTAGAAATGGAAGCTAGTCACGATTGTTAGAAATCTCCTCCTCTTATAGAATGTTAGTGTGTCTTATTGGGTTAAAATGCTAAGAAAACTCCTTGTTAACTGATGGCACTTTACTTACAAAAATGTTTAAATAGTTTAAAACGTTTTTAAAAGAATTTTTATAGTTTTCATTACCGTTTGAGATATAGTAGGGATTTTAAAAAATGGTATGTTTCCAAAACCATCCCATAAATTTGCAAAAATTGAAATGAAAAAATTCAGAGGGAGTGTGTGTGTATATATTTCATTAGGTTGATGAATGATCTAAGAGGACCTTGTATTGATGAAACTTTTGGACTAGAGTCACTGAACACTACTGATGACAATTTCCATCTGAACATAGCTTCTTTTTTATCGTATGAACTGAAGATTTTACATAGTTGTCTCAAGAACCCCTTTGATATTGTCACAAAAGCTGGTTGAAATGCAAATCCAAGCAATGTAGAGCTATGATTGTGAAAAAGCCACAATGTTCTTGTAAGGGCGTTTAAAGGGTTGATTTGAAAACACCACCCGTATTTTTTTATTTTATTTTTTTACGGCGAAGGGATGGCTATTAAACTGTTCTTGAGAATTGACTGGGAATAATAATAATTTTTTTTTACTCTTCTTTTTGTCTCTACTCCTGTTGTCACTTTTTGTTCTGTGTGGGAATTGACCTTGTTTCATCAATATTTGACTGAGTGATTGTGAATAACTAAAATGTTATGTTTCTCCTGTTCTGGTACTTACAGTCGAACCTGCCATGACGGCCACCTGTACAAACAGCCACTTTCCATTTCCCCCCTTGCATATTTTCAAATAATTTAACTGTAAAGGTCACTTGTCCGCCGCAGCCACCTTGTTTTATCAACCCACGGTCAAATTTACCTGCCTGGGGCGGCCGGGCGTGGCCACTCATGGCTCGACACCTTGTCATAAATTTTGAATCGGCCCCTGGCACTGTGGACGAGCTGTCATAATCCTTTCACATGTCGTTATTGTTAGTCCCTCCGATGAATGTTTACCCAAGTTGACCAATGGGTAACAATAAATTTTCAACTGCTTGTGAGGGAAGTATGTGATCCGTCATAACCTATAAGCCCCGCCTACAATTCATGCGCAAATAGTATGTGAGGTGACTGGTCACTGTTTTGTTTACCTTATCTGTAGCAAAGTGACAATGGACATTGACGTGAACTTGCAACAGAAGCTTTATTCGTTCTCCGAGTGGTGGTGACCCGTGTGTTTGTTTTACCGTGACACTCGGTCTTCATCGTCTTACATGATATTTAGTTTATTTTACCCTTGCACAAAATCGGCATTAAAAAAAGCTAGCCTAAAAAACAAACTAACAATGGCAAAACAACAACTAAAACCTTCATACACCACCCACCCCCCTTATTCAAGAGAAAATAAAAGCCCTTTTGAATTTACCTTACGGCAGCCCAAAGCCTGAGATCAGCCCCGGTTTGGACCTTAGAATAGAATGGGTTGCTTTCTTCATTTTGATCAGTCCCGCTTAAGATGGCGACCTGTGTTATACGGCCACTTTTTTCCTTGACAATGGGTGGCTGGGTTTTTTTTTGGGTCTTTTTTTAAATTGCGATTTTTTTGAAAGGGAGAAAGATCGATTTGCTTCTTAAGTATGAACTATGTAGTCAAAGCCTTGTAATGATGAAACTTTTGGACTAGAGTCACTGAATACCCTTGATGTCAATTTCCACCTGAACAAGGCGTTTTTGTTAAGTATTTGTTTAAAGAATTTGCAATGTTTTAAACTCTTTCCGGACGGATCGCCGATATATCGGCTGTGATAGGGTACCTCAGTTTTGTTTCATTATAACATGATCCGCCGTTTATAATTACTTTTCTATTGCTATTGAAAAACTCGGAAAGGATTTAGGGAACGAAATCATATATAGTTTCACTTTGTCAAAGACTGGGTTTGGGGGGAAAACGAGTGAATTAGTTCTTGCGGTCTTCAATCAACAAAACGATGTAACCGGACCCAGTATAAATATCATAACTCAAGCAAAAATTGGAATATTGCTTTCAAATAAAAAAAACTGCACTTTCAGAAATTTATGGATTATTCTTTTGGCTGGTATATGATAAGATAGCCATGCTGATTTGCTTTCACATGTTTGGTGAATGTAATTTTTTCCGTCAAAGTATGTTTATCTCGTCACCGTCGCCATTTCTAACCCTTCTAATGCATACTTATGTTCAAAATTTATCCTTGTTTTATATTGGGATGTATTCCTCATTCAATTTCCTTCAATGTGATATATCATTATGATGTTGCATTTGGAGTGATGGTTATGCTTCTATGAAGTTATTTTGTACACCACCTGCATAGCCAAAGCGAGCCACTGGTTAATTATGTCTAGACCCCCAAAAAACTACGTCCGGAAAGAGTTAAATAAAAAAACCATTTTACCTTCCTTGTGTTAGGTAATACTTTTAGTGCTATGTTTCTTGGATTGATGAATTAATAAGTAAGTTACTATAAACAGCATTCGCTCAGTATGCTTCTGCTCAATGAAATGTGTAGTTTCCTGTCGGTTTATTTTCTGCTCTTAGTCCTTTAGTTTTGGTAAAGGCCGGAATGAAAGAATGGCTTCATCAATTTCAAAACGTGTTCCTTGAAATAGTATTTGCACAGTTGATAAATGGTTAAGGAGGAGGACTTTGTAATGATGAAACTTTTGGACTAGAGTCACTGATTAACATTGATGTCAATTTCCATCTGAACAGGGCCATCCTCATTTTCATTTTTTTCCCAAAGTTTCCAAAGTTATCTCAAGATCCTGTTTAATCTTTTCATAAGTGCTTGTTGAAATGAAATGCTGAGTAAAGTGAGGAAAGTATGGGTCATAGAAGAACCAGAAATTGTTGCCAGACTTCTAAAGGGTTTAAATTTGTGTGATTTGAAAATACCATCCATGATTGGCCGAATAAATTCAATTAATTTGCAGCTTTAGCTTTTTCCCCCTAGCAATGAAAGTGTCATTGTTATTTACCTGTTCTGAAGATCAGATTGTAGATACAAGTTTTCTATTGTTTTTATCTCTTTTGTTGCCACTTTTTGTACTCATATAGATTAGATATAAGTAGCGAAAGAGAATTGCCTTGTAATGATGAAACTTTTGGACTAGAGTCACTGAATATTCTTGATGTCAATATCCATCTGAACAAGGCCATTTTTAAAATTTAGAATAATTGCTTGAAGAATTTGCAGATTATTTAAACAGAAAACCTTACAATTTCTGGTGTTTTTATTGCACTTGGCAAATGGATGGTATACAGTGTCGGAGATTTCATTTGTTTTAAAGTGTTGAGTGGTTTTAGAATATTTATGATAATATGTGCCTTGGATAAGTGGCCGAATGAATGAATCCCTGTATTACTCTTTACGGTTACCATTTTGCTTCAGCTCAGTGAAATTTTCAATTTCTTGACAAGTGTTCCGTGCTATTTTCACCTCTAGTTGCATTTATTCCCTTTTTTAAAAATGCTGGTGTTATATTAAATTGCTTCATTAGCTTAAAAAACCATCTCTTAAAAATGATTATTAATAGTATGTTAGGCAACGTAGTGAAATCAGGGGCCCATCAAAGTAATTAATCAAAGAAACCGACATTTTCCCGCCGAGTTGGCTATTTCTATTGAATTATTGTTTTTTTGGCTCAACGCTACTTCAAAGCACATTTTTTGGTGTATTTTACAGAAAATAGTTGATTAAAGGTACAAAAAATGTAAATTTGGGGTATTCAAGGACCCTCAAGCTTTGGAATTCACCAAACTGGGTGCCATTTTCTGACTTATATTTTACTCCTGAAACCAGATGACCCCCATCTCCTTCATTTGCTAATATCTCGACTTCTGTGAGGGTTTGGTTGGGTTGTTTTTTTTATTCGAAAGCCAGGCAAATGAACATGCTCAAGATGATACCAATAACTGATTAATTGTCAAAGAGGAGGGCTTTGTAATGATGAAACTTTTGGACTAGAGTCACTGATTAATATTGATGTCAATTTCCATCTGAACAAGGCCATCCTCGTTTTTCTATTTGAAGAGTTTACAAATTTGTCTCAAGATCCTATTCAATCTTGTCACAAGTGCTCGTTGAAATGCAAAGCTGAGTTAAGTGAGAGAGTGTGGGTAGCAGAAAAAACAGAAAATCTGCCAGACTTCTAAAAGATTATGTATGATGATGTAATTCTGGAATTGCCTCCATGGTTGACCAAATGAGTGTTTCACCCTATCAGTATGTCATGTTTTACTATCGTATCCATACGACTTGGGGAACTCTGTGCCACCACTTTCCAAAGGGGAAATTCACTCGTTAATCAGATCCGTAAGCTTTGCATAGCAGTCTGTCAAAATAATTTTTTGAGAAATAAGGGTTAATTCATTCGTTCGGGTTGGATTTTGGTGGATTACAAAAAAAAATGTTATTCCATCCTCTTTTTTTTTTACCTCCGTTAATGGGGGAGGTAGCAGGTTATGACTTAGTCTAAATATATTATTGTAGAGGCAGATCAACAGATGAACTGAGCAGGACGGCCTGGAATAATGATTGCTACTGGACTTAAAACGTAATATGACCTAGAAGAAGAAAGAAGTCATTGTAGATTGAAGTTTTGTTCTTTTAGTCTCTGTCCAATTGCCACTTTTTGTCTTTGATAAAAGCCGTTACTGAATGAAAGGTCAGCAAAGTAATAAAATGAAATAATGAAATGTTTAAAAAAAAGCAACTTTATTTTGCCCCAGCTGCAGTAAGGGAGTTTTTGTGTGTGTGGGTGTTTAGTATGGAAGAGAGAGCGATTTGCACATGGAGATATGGTATGAATGGTAAGTGAAATTCACAGTGAGCTGCTTTGTTATGATGAAATTTTTGGACTAGAGTCACTGAACATTCTTGATGTCAATTTCCATCTGAACGAGGCTGATTTGAGGGGGGGCGGGGGTTGTTTGATTTTTGGTCTTTGATTAGTTGTTTTTTTTTGGGGGGGGGGGGGTAGAATTTGCAGATTATTTTGATATATAATGTTGGGTTAAGTAGTATTTGGCATGCAAATTAAATTAAACGAAGTGTATACAGACCCGGTAACCGGGAACAAAGTCACGAAGTATACAGACCCGGTAGGGGAACTCTTTTGTGATTTCGGGAAGTTTCAGACCTCAGACCCGGATCTTTTGTGTGTGTGTGTGTGTGAGAGAGAGAGAGAGAGAGGGGGGGGGGGTGCTAGCAAAGTGTATATGACATGCCCCAGTTGGCAGGAGGGAACGAGAGAAAGATAGAGTGGGAAATAGATGGGGACAAAGAAATACAGAGACAAACAAAGAAAAAGAGAAGGCGAGCGGTACACAGAGACACACAGAGCAGAGAGAGAGAGAGAGAGACTGCTCGATTGAAATTATGACATTGTAACTGGTTCTTTTCTTCGGATTGTGATTCCTCCAATTCCAAAACAGAGGAATAACCATCGTTCATCGAAACGACATCCGCAATCTTCATTTAGATCTAGGTTAGCCGCGAAACTAGATGAAAGATTTATGTCTGTCTGCCTAGATCTAGACCTAGACCATAGATCTAGAAGAACCTAGGTCTACCCTGAGCCAAGAGGGCGCTGAAACTCTCCGAAATCACAAAAGAGTTCCCCTACCGGGTCTGTATACTTTGTAACTTTGTTCCCGGTTACCGGGTCTGTATACACTCCCTAAATTAAAACATGGTTTACAGAAGGGATTACGGTTTTGGAAGATTTGAAATGAGAGTTAAATTTTTTATAAGGGCAGGAGCAAAAGATTGATTTATTCCAGGTTGTGTAGAAAGCTAACGGAAGTGAACAAAGGAGAAATGCCTTGTAATGATGAAACTTTTGGACTAGAGTCACTGAAAAACCTTGATGTCAATTTCCACCTGAACAAGGCTTCTCGGTTTGTGTTAATGGAAGGATGGACTGAACATGAAGTATGATGAAGTAATCTTTAATGTTTAGGTCCTCTTGTTCACTGTTTATATAGCATCGTGGTGAAATCAGGCGCTCATCAAAACAATGACAATTTAAAAAACAAGCATGTTTCGTCCGTTGGGTAATTTTTAAATTTTTTTCTGACATCAAGTGACCTCCACATATTTCAACTGCAAATAGCTTGACTTCTATTCAAAATAGATTGGTGGGGGGGGGGGGGGGGGGTTGTGAAAAACAAGACAAATAAACAAGTTGTTGATACCACTAGCTCCATATGCCCAAAAATTGACGAACGCCTGGTATGTGGCGTCGGTAGTCTTGTGGTTAGGCTACCGGTTGAGGTTGGGGGTTCAAGCGTCTGGACCAACGTTGTGTCCTTGGGAAGGCACTTTACACAAATTTTCTTCACTTCACCCAGGTGAAAATGGGTACCCAGTTATAGATAATGTCTGTATGTTAGTGTTTTAGCACCTATAAATTACAGCTTGCACTGTATGCTTCTCTGGAAGTTGAGATTGTTTCAGAATGCTGGCAGGTCTGCTGGGGTAGAAGTATAGATTGTAAAGCACATAGGGCTTGCTGTTGAGAATTTGCGCTATACATGCTATAATTATTATTATTTTCACAAAGTAGGAATTCATTGAATACAGTACATCTGTTCGGATTCATCAGCAATAATTTAGTTCACTTTCCTTCTTAATGTGTTGGTGTTGCACCAGTTCCAGTGTATGCTTTTTGCTTTGTATTTCACAGACTGTCAGATTCAAGAATGAGCTGGAGAGAAACATCACCATTAAATTGGGCTATGCCAATGCTAAGGTATGACCTCTTTTCTCTTTGGTTTTACTCTGTGTCATTCTCTGTCTGCTGTTTTAGTTGAATAATATGTCTTAGGCAGCTTAAAGTGTCATGTTTGCGATATGTGGAACTTTCATACAATTCCTTCACTCTTGGGTAAAGCTTTTCTTAAGATCTTGGAAGCCTTCAAATTCCATCTCTTTATCTTTAAACTTTTCTGGGGGGGGGTACTATTTTGACGTGTATTAATATGAAGTAGTGTGTGTATTTTACTCTTTGTTTTGGGTTTGTTTGTTTTTGTTTTTCTAATTCTGTTGCCCTTACCTTGTTTCCTTTTCTCTTATTTTCATTTCAAGTAATCCAATTATTGCTTCTCAAATTAGGCTCAACCCTGTCTGGTAAGGCAGGAGGAGCAGAATGTTAGACTTTCCGACCGGTGTCCAGGAGTTGCTAGATTGTTTATGGGGAAAAAATCTAACTTTTCCCTTTTCTACAATTTCTAATGAATCGTTTAAAGTTGTTTAAAGAAAACTACTTTTTTTTCTTTCCTCATCCTTACTATCGTCTATTTTCCGCTACTTCTTTTGTATGTTTGTCTCTTTCTTGTAAACTGCCATTTCCGGGGTGCTTTGATAGTCAAAGCAGATTTTTTGCGGTTGAGGTTAGAGAGGTGAGCAGAGTAAGCCTAATTCTCCATTTGGACTTCTGTTGGCATCCTCCCCTTGGCGCTCATATGACCTAATGCAGTTGCGAGCGCCGTAAAACCTTACTAAAACATATGTTTAAAGTTGTGTGTTCTCTCTTGTTAGAGAAATAGGTGTTTATGGGAATGAATAATTGAAAAGAGCTCCCTTGTAATGACGAAATCTTTGGACTAGAGTCACTGAACTCACATGATGTCAATTTCCATCCGAACAAGGCCTCAAAGATTTCATGCTCTTGGAAATGAAAGGTCGTACATGTTTCCTATCTCTTTACACCAGATTTAACATTAACTGATTGAAAGTACTTTAATTTCTCCTCACTGTTGACCTTCCTTTTTTTTTTTTTTTTTTTAAGATGTGAGGGGTTGTTTCCTTTTTCTGACTTGTGGCTGTAGATGTTAGGGTAAGGTGAATGGAAAAGAATTTTAGGAATACATATGATTGTGGAAAGGTTCTGATTTTTGTAGAGTCTTTCTTTGACTTTTGGTATTGATGGGAAATAAGCAGCAATGGCAGATAGCAAGAAATTATTGGTACTGTGTTGAGTGTTTCTCCATTTGTGTCATAGAATTCAGAGACGAATTGGCCATGGTCCAGCCTTGTCTATTTAGTGGAATTGTTTTCTCTTTTGTTGTCTCCACCTGATCTAAAGTTCTTTTTTCAACTTCGCTCTTCACTGATGAAATTTTTGCTGCCAGTTTTTATAGAAATAAGTGCTGAAATTGGATTAATGAATCTTATTGTGGTGAGAACATTGCAGCTTTAAAGTGGATTTTGGGTCTCTCATGGCTTAGAGGTTAAGGTGTTGGCCTCTCATTCGAAAGGTCCCGGGTTCGAATCCGGGTAGCGACGGACAAATTTTTTTCTCTAAATTTGTCTCCTTTCACCTCATTTCCTGCTCTCTAGCAATGTTCTGTCGTCTGCTTTCATTTCCACTTTCTGCCCCCACCCCCTCACCTCCTTTGCCCCTTCCTCTGGGCTCCTGATTCTTTCTGCAGCCTTTCTACTGCTACTCCTTCGCTTCTTCTTACTGCTGTCTTTCAGCCACACCCCTGCTCATCTGGTAGGAAAGACCTACACGTAGCCTTCTCGGACAAGAGCGAAAAATCTCGGAGGGCCCGTGTGCAAGTTACGCACGTTGAAGATCCCTTGGTGGTCTAAAATCGATAAGAGTAGGCTTCAGCCGCCACCCGGGCAAAATTCAAAAGTTCCTACCAACTGAAAATATTATGTGTGTCCGGCGCGTTCATATGACCTTATGCAGTTGCAAGCGTCGTAAAACACTTTACAAAAACAAACAAACAACAAAGTGGATTTTGTCCCCTTTGAAATTTCTTCCTGGGTGCTTTTCGGAGGTGAGGAATGCAACTTTAATGTCCTAGTCAATGTACTGACTCTTGTGACAGTAATGAAAGACTTCCGATTGTTGAGTAAAGGTGGCCCACATCACAATCACTTATGAATGAACGTGTTCTTGACCTGGAACTAACATGTAGTGACCATGTTCCTTTCAGATTTACCAGTGTGACAATGACGCATGCCCCAGGCCGGACTCCTACAGATCCTGCGGCAGTGCCAAGGAGGACTCCTTCGTCTGTGATAAACCTGGCTGCACTGGCAGATTCAGGCTGAAGAGGTAACCGTTCATGTCTGATATTTCGGCTTAAGCTTATGTTTTTGGAATGGTGTCCCTTCATTTTCATTGTGATCATCACCTGTCTTACCTTTGTGCTCTGCTAGACTTTTGTTTGTTGGTTTTTTGTTTCTTCGTGGGGAGAAGGGGTGTGATGAATGACTGATTTTGATCTTTGATTTGGATGTGGTTCCTAAAATTTTTACCGTCATGTAAATTGGGACGTTCAGTTTTCTGTTGTTTGTTTTTTGGATGAGTTATTCTTCCATTAGATTCTTATCCCATTTGAAACCAAATGCAGGCTGCCTTTCCCTTTCTGCACGCAAAGTACTTGTCTTGTAGGCTCAGGGAACCCGAAATGTATTTTAGGATTGCAATAGCATACTTCTGTAACAGACCTGCCTAGTACTTCGATAAAAACAGAGCCCTCTTTTTACAAAAGTGCTCGGTTTGATGTTACTTTATAGGCATGCAGAGTTTGTTCCTTTCTACATTTCGTACTGTGGTGACAGTTTTTAACTTGCCTTTCCGCTGTTTACACATAATTTTTCACTCTTCTTCAGACATGTGTCTTTTGTGGATTGCCCGGGTCACGACATTCTTATGGCCACCATGTTGAACGGAGCAGCTGTTATGGACGCAGCTTTACTTATGATTGGTAATGTGTATTTGAATTGTCTTTTCATAAGAACACACCACGTTAGAACCCTGTCCGTCAAAGGCCTACTTTCACCTCATAATGGAGGTTTTTACATTCATGGTTTTCATGTCTAAGAACCTGCTCTAAAAATAATATCCACTTAAGAGCCCATTTTGAACTAAAGGTTGTTTGCATTTTTAATTAATTGTCTTCTTTCACCATAATTTGGTTATACAAAGTGTGAACCAGTACCTGATTTATAATGTTGCAAAGTTCAGTAAAACATACATCTACAGCTACAGTGTGAGGGAGTGGAGGCGCAGGTACTTTCCCACTCTTTCTTCAATTGTTGGTAGCAGCAGTGCTTGCTTTGAAGTGCATGTTAGCTCTCAATACTCAGGGTCAGAAGAAGCATTCCAGTATCCTAACTGATATCAAGCGGTCATGAAGGGGTAGGAAACAGATGGAAAAGGGGGTTGGGCTGAAGGGAATGGTGGCTGACATAGATTAGTGTACAGCAGAGTCCACTCACTAACACTAGTTTTATGCACATATGTGACCTCTACGGAAAGGGTTTATCCCTAGGTGGTTTTAAGTTTCAATCACTTTTACCTCGCTCGTGATCAAAGTATTCTCCTTATGACCGGATGTTTGAGCGAAGACCACTGCATTCTCATATTTCTGCATTTTTACTGGTTTTACTGTCAAAGTTGTTACAGTGGACCTGAAACAACGAGAAGTCTGTTAAAAAGACACTATTCTAAAACCCCGTTTTTGTCCCTTCTTTGTAAATAAAATACTGCTATTGCGCAATCAGAATGTCACATGAGTCGGTTATAGCGGAATAATGCTGCTGCTGTGCACAGCGCCCAGACCAATTAAACATATGAAATCTCGCCAGTTGAGAAAGTTGTTGGTGATCCAGGGAAACAAAGAATGAGAGAGCCCACGCGAACCAATAATGAAGGCCGGAGCGAATGAGTGAGGAGGGTGTGGCATGCGCAGACAAGCAGAACGTATCGCGTGATAGGCCAGCCCAGTCTAGATTATCTAGGCATACCGTGCCTCTCACTTCTCTGGTCCGGGATGGAGAGGTCACAATGCTGTGATAGATGGAGTGACTGTGTGACGTGCGCAAGCAGACGCAACGCACCACAAGGTGTGGTGGGGTGGGGGACAACACAGGCGAGTTAGCCTAGAGCCAGAGCCCCTTTTTTCTGATCGCCAAAGCCGATTGGTCAACATTGCTAGTGCTAGAGAAAGAAACCTGATTCGTTTTTTGATCCAGTAAGACCTAGAGATCATGTTGAACAAAATCATCATCAGGGGAAATACAAAAAGGAATAAACAGAACACTAAACTCATAGGTTAGGCCTACTTTACTATTTACCTTGAATTTATTGCTGGATCCCTAATAACGAGAATCCTGCTATAACGGACATTTCGCACCGGTCCCCTCCCTCTCGTTATAACAGGATTCCACTGTATTTAAAATATGCTCTTTTCTAATCTCTCACCAAGAAGGTATATTTTCCCTTACATCTACCTCTGCCATGTGAATGTAGAAGTTACAATAACGGAGTTGGGGTTGTCCTATCTTGCTCATGTATTTCCCATTGGTATGTGTATTTCAGCTGGCAATGAAACGTGTCCCCAACCACAGACATCAGAGCATTTGGCTGCTGTAGAGATCATGAAACTGAAACATATTCTCATCTTGCAAAACAAAATTGATTTGGTGAAAGAATCGCAGGCAAAAGAACAGCATGAGCAAATCCTTGCTTTTGTGAAAGGTAAATCGCCAACTTTTAGATTGTTTCTTTTTAATTGAATATTGTATCATGTTCATTGCATTTCTCCTTTTATAGGGATATTCAACATTTAAGCGTTACTATTTTTTAATTCACGTTCTGAGGGTCATATATAGTTGTTTCTTTATTTATATATATAAGAAAAAACGTATGTGAAAGTGTGCATAAGTTTCAAGGAAATGCACAGAGGGATTCTTAATTTTGGAAAGTTATTTGATATCATGATATGTAGGTGGCTGCAGCATATTTTTTTAAAGAAAGAATTGTTACAGTTTTTCCATCATGACTAACAGCAGCGGTAAAACATGTAGAAATGTAACTGTAACATGTGCAGTGTATAAAGTGTGTGTTTTAGAACATGAGTTCTAAAAAATGTTAACTAAGTATAGTCAAACCTGCTCTATTGGCCACCTGTCCAAGATAATCACCTGTAGAAACTACTTCCTACTTCCCCCCTTTTTTTATTTATATTATGAACATATTGTCTAAAACTTCCACCAGTCTAAGACAACAATTTTTTCCTTGACAGTTGGTGGCTGTCCTGATCAAGTTAGACTGTACATATACACTTATCCTTTCTCTCCTCTCTTGTGCCCAGGAACTGTGGCAGAAGGCGCTCCAGTGGTGCCCGTGTCTGCCCAGCTCAAGTACAACATTGATGTGATCTGCGAGTACATCATCAAACGCATTCCCGTGCCAGTCAGGGATTTCTTGTCACAACCTAGGCTTATTGGTGAGCTCACTCTTGTTTTGTGTGTCATTCATAAACAATGTTCTTGTCTGGCAAAGTGGGAAGGTTAAGTTTTTTATGTGATCATTATTGATTTTATACTAAAATTATTAACAAATCGTGGGCCTAGAATGAGAAGGCGGGTACGCTGGTGAGGTTTGCTCTTTCTTTATTGTCAAACATCTCTTGTCCCGATCTCTCCTTTTTTGTGTTTGCTACTCTCTCGTAACACCTCTAATCTTCATGGCGCTCATATGACCTTATGCAGTTGCGAGAGCAGTAAAACCCTCTACTATAATAGTAGTACAATGAAAACATTCAAAAATACAGCGTCTTGTCTGTAAATATGTCAAACCAGTCCGCCCAGTAGTTTTGCCACAATTGCATTTCCCCATGTGTGTATTTCCAATAGCTTTTTAAAGTGTTATGTTGTCAGTCTTTTCACTTTCTATATGATTTTTAATGTGTATGTGTTAAAAGTATAAGAAAATACATAGATCTGAAGTGGAGTTGCTTTGACAATGTTTTATTCCTTCTCTCCTAGTAATTCGTTCCTTTGATGTGAACAAGCCTGGCTGTGAGGTGGACGACATCCTGGGTGGTGTGGCTGGAGGTTCTATTCTGCGAGGAGTCTTGCGGGTGAGTAAAGGGGATGTGGAGGATTTGTTGTTGTGCTTTTTTTTTTTCAGATGTAGGGGGTGGGTTGTCTTAGGGGTTTAAAAAATTGTTTTTAACCAAATCAAATGTTAAGGACAGTCATGCGTAAATGAGCTAAAAACTTTTGGTTTTGTGTCAATGCATTTGTGTATAAGATTGTTTGGGTTTTTTTGGGGGGGGGTTGTTATTACTCTGTTGTTTTTTATAGATCCTGAAGATTGAGTATATCCTCATTTTTGTTGCTTTTCCTATTGAGCCATGAGGTGCTTCAATTTTCAGAGTATCAAATGTTGACAGGGCCACTGAGTTTTGGCAGCGCTTTTTTTAATATTCATGATTTTATTCACCATACAGGTAAATCAAAAGATTGAAGTGAGACCTGGCGTGGTGTCGAGAGATCAGGATGGCAAACTCATCTGTAGACCCATTTTGTCCAAGATCGTCTCTCTCTACGCTGAACTGAATGACTTACAGTATGCTGTGCCTGGAGGCCTCATTGGTAAGAACTTGAAAATGGCAATGATGAACATGTGCTCATTAATTTCGCCAGTTTAGCACTTTGCTTAATTTTGGCGACAACTTTGTGCTGGGAAAGAAGTTTCTCGTAAGTGGTTTTTGGGCCTTTTCAAGTTCCTTCAGGCACGTTTTTTTATTTAGATGTGTTTAGTTAAATTTCAATTTCATCGTGCTTTTTTACTCATTTCTAGTGTTACTTTTGGGGGTCTTTTTTTTTTTTTTTGTACAATTTGTCTCGCAGAATTAATTAATTTTGACATTGCCGCATCCAAGGCCCTCAACCAACTCATTTTTGAGCTCATCGACATTTTTTTTTGGTGTGTGTTCAGAGGGCAGAAAAGATTTGTTAATTAGACACTAGTGGGTATCAGTAAGAGCTGCCTTGTCATGATGAAACTTTTGGACTAGAGTCACTGAACAACCTTGATGCTAATTTCCTTCTGAACAAGGCTCCTCAGATTTTGGGTTTAAAAACTTTGCACAGGGTATTGGACTTTGTAAAAAATCTTTTCAGGCTAACCTCGTGATCTAGAAGTTATGGTGTTCGTCTTTCATTCCATAGGTCCCCGGTTCAAATCCTGACAGCGCCGGAAAATTTTCTTCTCTGAAATAATGTTCTCTTTTCACCTTTTTCCCTGCTCTCTAATAATTTTCTATTGTCTGCTTTTGTCTTCACTTTCTGCATTTATATATAGCACTTTATCCCATTCAAGTGTGTAAGCTCTGTGGGCTTTACATCAGTGGCATGATTACAGAGAGTAAAACCTCATACACAAAAAGAAACGTGTCATATAAACAAGAAAACTATTTAAACCACAATAGGAAAAATGTTTCTCAGTCGTACATTAATGATATATGCCTTGTGTGTTTCAGGTGTTGGCACCAAGATGGACCCGACCCTGTGCCGTGGTGACCGTTTGGTCGGACAGGTCCTGGGAGCTGTCGATGCCCTGCCCGACATTTTCAGCGAGTTGGAGATCTCCTTCTTCCTTCTCAGGCGTTTGTTGGGAGTCAAGACTGAGGGGGACAAGAAAGGTGCTAAGGTAAGTGGAGGTCCCAGTTCATGTTCCTTGTGATCGGCTGGTGTTCTCCCAGCTCTGGTCTGTTTCATCAACTTTTCTTGGGTTGTTTTTTTTTTCAATTGTTGATATCTGCTTGTTACAGTATGTTCACATTGATTCCCCATGCATTAAATGCGAGTCAGCAGTGGTACTTTGAGTATGCAAGCATTTTCCCCCTTGTTTTGTTTTGTTGTTGTTGGGGGGGGGGGGGGGGGGGGATATAATAAGATTAAAACGACCACTTTTTTCTTCTATAATGAGTGGCCATCGTCCAGTTGGGACTTGGAAATTCTGTTAACATGTGCAGAAAGTTCGAATGAGATGATGTTGGTGTAAGTTGCTGGATGAACCCTATTTATGTTCAATTTCTTTCTTCAAAAAGGTGCAAAAACTGAGCAAAAATGAAGTTCTGATGGTGAACATTGGCTCGCTGTCCACTGGTGGTCGTGTGCTGGCTGTGAAGGCTGATTTGGCCAAGATTGGACTGACCTCCCCTGTGTGCACAGAGACTGGAGAGAAGATTGCCCTGAGCAGACGTGTAGAGAAGCATTGGAGGTGAGTACACTGTTATAGTTGATAGAAGGAAACAATCACTTTTGTTTGCTGCTGCAGAAAGGTGGTTCAGGAATTTGCTTCTTTTCTGTGCAATATCTGTGTCATAAAAAATGTTTAGGATCAAACTTACAGTCGTTGTGTCAGTTTGTTATGGACTTGACCAATGCTCAAATCTGGGTACAGCCTAAATTTTTTCTTCTTCCTGGGACCTTTTCCTGTCAGCTTAGTGTGTTGGCTATGTGCGCAAAGCCTTCAAAATGACTTTTTTTGTATGTGTTGACAAAAATTAAGAAAACAAAGAGATTCATGCAGCGAAATAGCCTCTTTTGTCTCTATGGAAGGTTGTCTAAATTCATCAGCAGGCCTTCTTCTACCAAGTCAGTTGGCTTTTTCAAAATAAAACTCAGCAAGAACCTGTTGATGGATTGAATTTAGGCTGTACAGAAGTGTTCAAGTTGTAAGTTGAGAGTATTTGTTGATGTGTATATCTACCTCTATTGTAAGTGAAAGAATTTTTCCCTTTGGATGAAGTGATTATCAGTATCAGGGGAAAGTACCCTGGATGGCTTTCTGTTTTGTTTTGTTATTTTTCTTTTGATCTCATACAGTTAATCATTTTTATTATTTAATTTTTTTAATTCATTTTTTCTCCCAAACAGGTTGATTGGCTGGGGTCAGATCAGAAGAGGAGTCAAGATAACACCGGAATCGCAGTCGATTTAATTTTAAAATGCTCCCGAGTCTAGAACTGTACACTGAATGTTTCAAGCACAAGAGAGCAGGACACCTTCTTTGCTGTAAATCTCTCCAGTTAATCCAGTGTATGTTTTATCAAAATGTGTGATTGTTGCCTTTTGTAATGGCATGTTTGAATGGTGTAAGTAGCTGCAAAAGGGAATGATAGGTGTAGTGCAATCAGGGTGGCTGCCATGTTGCGGGAACTCAAGTGTTTCCTGAAATTTGAAAAATACTGAGCAGCAAAATTTCAGGGAAGGACTCTGGGAAGTTAATTTTGAGGCTCAAAAGCATTCTAGGGTGGAACAGCTAGCTGTATTTATCTCACTTTTTAAAAAATTATTTGGTGGAAGTAAAAGAAAATGCGTAGTGTTCAAGAATTAATTATGGGTTTCTTCATGGTGAGATATTTTTTAAACCACATTCAGGGATGTTTTAAGTCAAGTACACATGTGTACACTTTGTCGTCCATATACCCTGGATAATGAATGGACACTCTTGTAAAGTAAATAAACGTCGATTTGGCAGTTGTCGCCTGTAATGTGTTTGCAAATACTTTGAACAAAATGCATCCTTTTCAGGGGTATCTTTTCAAGCATTTATTGAAATTGCCGTTCTTTTGGCCGAAGATTTGGTAAGTCATTCATAAAGATGGATGTCTCGCATCAGTGCATGAAGGATGCTGTCAAAATTCTAAGTAATGGAATAAAATTCTCAATGTGGCAATCGAATTCTGTATTTCCTTGTACTTTTTTTTCATCTGCTCGTTGTACTCATTAACACATTACACCCTAAGGGTCTGGGCGGGAAGTCCATTGTTAGATCCCAAACAAGGGGAAGGAACCCACCTCCCGTGAATACTAGCCTTTAAAAAACACATTTTAAAAATACTAAACAAATTACAAAAATCCTGAAAAAATTAAAATTAAAACGAAAAATGAATGTAGTTTCAGAAAAATATAACTTTGTGTATGCGCAAACTGTTGGAAATGTTCTAACTTTAGTTCATTCGGGGTGTCCGACCTGTCACTCTCACCCTCAGCCTCGCGGTCGGGCCCTAGATTTAAATTCTAGATTTTCTACGTCTGATCAATCTGAATCGCCCCAAACTCTTGCTACAGCGTTTTCATCAAAATCATTTAATTTGTCATTTGCTTGTTTTTGCTCAAATCCATTGTTATTTCCAATTTCGTACTCAATTGTGTCGCTTTTCAACAAATCGGGACACCTTGGGAGTGTTGGTAACGCAATCGCACTTCGTTTGGTTCTAATACTAAAACTGCAGGCCTGAAAATTTTCGTTTCGTTATCAAACGAAAGAAGAAACTTTTTGCAGTAGTCAGTAATATAACTATGCAAATCAAAACCTCAGCCCCAGAGAAGGCGAGACTTCGTTTCTAAAGACGCTAGGTCGGCGCGGGTGGTTCCGGGCGAGTCAAGGTGGAGCGCGTAAGGGAATTATCGGGCGAGTTGGGGTGTAATGTGTTAATGGTTTATAAAAAGATTTATATGTAATTTATTAAGATTAATTTTTTTAATGCTTTTGAAAGTCTGTTACAATAAACCGTACCGTACTTTCTTACTGAGGTCGACCCATGTTGAAGCATAGCTGGCAACAGACTCCTTCTCATCACACCCTGTAATCCAAAGCCAGGAGACTTGTCTTCCCCAACAGGGATACAAAAACTATAGAGATTTTGTGGGTAAATCTTGAAGGTCACCTTGCCAGCTGAAAGTTGGGGCCTTATAATACTTATAAAGGCCAGTTGCCTGAACAAAATTCTGAATTGGTTCTTGGTCCAAACCTTGGGAGTGACTTTCAAAATGGACACTACACTGTGGTAGTGAAGAAAAGTTTTATGGTATATACAACTTCAGTTACTTTCAAACTGGGAGGGAACACAAGCAATATATTCCCACTTGCGTTATATTGGAGGTTAGTTGAACACCAAAGACAAATGGCAATTGAACCATATCCTTTTACACTGAAGGAAAGAATTTACTTCAGGGACTCTACACTCTCTGGGAAGTAGGCCTACATGTATGTAGCTGAAGGCTAATGTGCTAATGCACCCTCACAAGCTACCCCAGAATTCCAGAATGCACAGGTATGTACCGTCAAACCTCGTTATATCGCCCCCTGTTATACTGCCAGGTTTTGCCTTTGTACCAAAAGGGGTGCAAATATAACCAACTCCATCACACTGCCATCAGTCTTTATTTATTAACTAATATAAATTTGCTCCACCATACTGCCAGCAAAATGATCACCAGAGGTACACACGGCGCACTCTACCCACTGGTTGGCTACTTGATGATCTTCCTCCCATAAGAAAGACATAGAGATAAGAGAGAAGACTCTTGGCTCTGAATGCATGTACACTCATGTATATCTCCACCAACAAAAAGACACTTTTCAAACTCGGATTACACAGTAGAATCATGTTCCTTGACGTTGGGCAGGCAGGACTATACAACAGAGGAACCGTCAGCCCTGCTGTTCTGCCAACTTTATGCTCGTCCCAAGGAAGGCAGTATAACGAGGTTGGACTGTATTACAGTTGAACACAGATAGCTCAAACTCACAGAGGAATTGGCAACACGTTTAACACATTCGTTATTTGAGTAGACAACAATGAGAAATAAGAGAAATCTTGATGAAAATAAAGTGAAATAACTATGACAGTATGTGAGTATGTTTTGCTTTTTCATCCTCTGTTGCCATTAAGCGTCGAGGGGAGATGCAATTTTCTCTGGTAGGCCAGCTCCGCAGCTCTTTCAGTTGTGATGTTATGTTTTCCTAGAGTTTCCTTGACACCCTCGATCTACCTTTTGCGTGGTCTTCCTTTTCCTTTAAAGCCTGAGGGTTTGGTGTTGTAGGCTCTCGAGTCTGGCTAGTCAGGTGACATGCGTTACAGTTACAGGTGGCCATACCATTTTATCCAGTCTTTCTATGTACATGTAACGCAGGCAGGACTCGGTGCTGAAAGCTGCTCTTCTTCATTTCTCTGCTAGTCTCATCTAGTGATGTTAAGGGTTTTGCTGAGACTTTTCATTTCGCATGCGGTGCTTTTGCTTTATGGGGTTTTGCCTAAAGTCCAGGTCTGGCACTGATAACATAATGTTGGTACGAATATTGAGGTGATAAGCTGTCTCTTTGTGTCCGTGGAGATGTTTGGATGAGATAGGAGGGGTGCGAGCTGGTAGGTGACAGCGTTGGCTTTTTGAGTTCGCATTTCTATTTCTCTGTCCATCATCTATGGACCCGTTTTCAGAAAAAGTGCTGCCAAGATATTTAAACTCCTTCACCTGTTTCAGTTGTTTACTATTGACATGGATGTTCAGGGAACTATGGTTTCGGCTCACTTTCATAACTTCTGTCTTTGATGTGCTTATTTTCATGTTGACTTTCTCACAGCTGTTGTTGAGTTCGGTAGTGTGATTTTGGAGGCTTTGTTGGTCATGATGAATAAGACATTGGTCGTCAGTGAACAGAAATTCATTTAGGTTTTCTGGGCTTTGATTTGCGTCTTGCGTTATTGTGTCCATATATATTATAAACAGGAGGGGAGATAGAACACATCCCTGTCGTACTCCAGATCTTACTTTGAACCAGTCTGTATTGCCTTCCTTCGTTCTTACTGAGCTTCTGCTGTCGGTATATATATAGAGCTCTGACATTATCTAACATTTGTCCTATGAGGCCATACTTTTCGAGTGTCTTCCAGAGTGTGCATGGTTTACTCTGTCAAAAGCCTTCTCCTGGTCTATTAAAACGAAGTTGGATTCTTTGTTATTTTCGTTTGTTTTCTCGCATATGACAGTATAAATTAGTAAAATCTAAAAGAGTCAAGATAAAACTCGGCTTCATGAAAAGTATCCGCTATCAATAAATGGATGGATAGTGAGCGCTATTTGCTTGTTTGGTACAGTGGAACTCGGATTCAACGAGATGAGATATATTCCCCAATTTTTTTCTTCTTTAAAATCAATTTTAGAAACCTGGATTCAACGAGCACTTAAATCAGCGAGCTCAGATTCGACGAGGTCGCTTCCAGGATGAACAGCCCCCGCAGACGTGGCTTCGCTCATTTTTCTCCCAGAACGAACTTGATCTATTCCCGGAAACCATCCATTGCACCTGCATCGTGTACCATTATTCACTTAGCTGACTGCGTGTGACCGATCAGCGGCCTTTTTTCATACCAGCACATGCGTTGTTGGCACGCGCACGTGTCTACTCTATCATGTGTCGGGGTAGGATAGGCGGCCTGCACACGTATGACTGTGTGCATGTCGGGGAGGGGGGGGGGGGGCACCGGCTGTCCGGGTGTTAAACGTCGCAGATCAAACGTGTCACAGTCTTTTTCCCCCCCTCGTCAACTGATCATTACATGTATCACAATGATAACTTAAGCTAGTCTTGACGTAGATCTACGCAATGAATTGTGCGCTGGTCTATGGAATCAAAAGTTTCCGTATTTTAGGCTCTCTACACAGCAACGCAACTTTTTGGTAAACAATCGAGATGACACAGGCGTGCATTGAACAAATCGGTCTTTTTTTTTACACAGCTCATAGTATGCAGGCATTTCAGATTCTACTTGTGACTTCTCTTTATACATTACTTGCTCAGTGCCTGTAATTATCAACACAAAACCTTGTGATTGCTATAACGAACACTCGGATTCAACGAGATTTTAGGTCAGGCCCGGCGACCTCGTTGAAACCGAGTTCCACTGTATCAAAGTCAAAGGAAGAGAGTGATGATCGTGAGCCTTAGATTTACATCTAATAATCTTACTTAACCCTATCCGTACGTCTTGGGGTAATTTTGTACCCCTTGAGTTCTATTCTTCACATTTTAGAATACTTCTAGTACGAAAATCTCTGAAACTTTCGGTATTTCTCAAAAAATCATTTTGACAGACTGCTATGCAAAGCGTACGGATCGGATTAATGAGTAAATTTCCTCTTTGGAAAGTGGTGGCACAGAGTTCCCCACATCGGATGGATATGATAGCGAAACACGACTTACTGATAGAGTTAAACAACAAAATTATTATTGCTCATAAGTCCGATCACAATCATGATGGTGTAACCTACACTGATCAGAGCAAGCCAACCATCCCTTTTTTGTAATAATGTAATCACTTCCAGATCCATACCTATATGTTCAAACAACCACAAACGTGCACACAAACATACAGTCAAACCTCATTGTACTGCCGCCGCCCCCTCCATTATACTTATACATACAGCCACTGTAGGAAAAGGAACACATAGTATTTATTGTGCCTTTGGCTTTGCACTGCCACCCCCCCAACTGTCTTGAGTTGTACAGTCTCTATTAAACTAATGTAAAATTGCCCCGCTGTAGCCTCAGCGAATTCATAACCAGAGGTAGGCCTAAATAGTAGGCCTACTCACTCACAGCGCACGGCACCCATAGAGTGGCTGCTTGATAATCTCTTTCCCCACACACGTCTCTGCCAGCTCCGACTATTTCTAGCACTTATCAATCTTCACCTGATTTGCATTGATTTTGAAAATGATATTTTTTTTAGGGCTCATGGCAATTTTTAAAAAAAAGTTGGAATTAAATTTTAAAGTCCCGTGGAGAAACTTCAAGGGAACTGCACTACCTCAGCCTGCTGGCAAATTATCTGGCATCGCCAGGTACCAGCCTAATGACCTAAATAAATTTTAAAAGGCAGGCGCGAGCACCCGTA